AGTTGCTTTGGTGGGGAAGGGTTATAAAGGTGTAGCCTTTCTTGGAATTTAGAGTCAGAATTGATTAGTGGATAGCCTAAGTATAAATTTAGAGTTTCTTACACTATATGGATTTGCTAACAAAGTATTGATTCTTCACCTGATGAGAAGCCAAGTTATCAGTGATACAGATGCCGTGCTCAAATTAATTTGGTCCTGCGATAGTGAAAGTTCAAAGAAATCTGCCCTTTATTTTATTTTTGTCCTATAATTTGGTCTGATAGTCCTGTTATTTTAGTGACTCATAAAATTTTCCCATTAATTTATCAATCCTTCATCTTTTTCCCAATTGTGCTCCTTCAAAATGTGATGTATGGTATTCTTTTTGTTTTTCTACTCTCAGTGAAAAGAAGATGGAGAAAGATGAAGGATTGAAGACTCTGGAGTGCTTGAAAGGAAGGCTTTTTGCAGAGTACAAGCTTCAAAGTCTGCAAAAGACTATGCAGAACTAATGGGTAATAAGGTCAGTTTTTCCTCTATCAATTTAGGTATGATAAGGTGCAGATTAAGATTCTGAAACTTGACTGCAAATAATCCATGAGTGTCAAAAGAGTTGCCGATTTGACACTTCAATTACCCTAATATGATTTTATTTTTCAAACTGTTCCTCTTATTTTGATTTTCTTTTTCCTATTTTAAATTCTAATTTTGTTTGATGTCATCAAAGAATTAGTCAATCCATGTGTGTTTGTTTTTGTTTTTTTCAATTAAATTACTTCAATAATTTTTTCCTGGACTTTGTTGTCGTGTGTTGATCGCTTCTACTTCAGGTTAGTCGTTTTCTCTTGGCACTAATGCTACTTTGCAGTCAGATATATTTGCATGGACCTATGTATTATAGTTTTTGAATACGATATTTTCCTTTTCTTGGTATCATATATCCAAAAGCTCACTCTCTAATTTTCTTACATCCACACAGTTTTCTAATTGTTTTGTTGATTATAGGAAGATTTTAAGTTTGGGGAATATTATGGGCACCGTACATGCTATGAGGCATTATTATATCTTTACTGCTTTCTGCTGATATCTTTTTTCTGCATCCCTTCCTTCCTCTCATGCCAAATAGTCTAGCATGTTTCAGTCAGATTTTATGTTTTCCTTTGCACCATGGATGCCTTTGTTCATATATTATATGTCGCTGAATTTGTTCAACCAAATGACCACAGTCAGTATATGTCTTAGGTTGCGTTTGGTTCGTGGTATGTAGTGGGAAAGTGTGGTAAGTTGGGTAGAGGGAATAACTTTCCCATGTTTGGTTGGAGGAATCTAATTTTAGGTGGGAATAATATTCCCACCACTTTTCCACTTGAGTGGGAATGTGGTGGGAATGTCATTCCCACCTAAAAGGGTGGGAAAGTTAACTTTCCCAGGAAAGTGTTACTCCTTTTCACTTGTATTTCTCTTATATTTTAAAATTTTAATAACTTTCCCATGTTAACCAAACATGGTAATCTTATTCCCACAAAAACAAAAAATTATACTTTCCCACTAAAATAACATTCCTAGGAAAAAAGTGTGAATGACATTACCACGTGATACCAAAGATACCACGAACCAAACATAACCTTAAGCATTTTTAATTGGAAGCATATGTATTATGAATTGCAATAGTGTACAGAATAGTATTCTTAGATAAGTATATCCAAAACAACTTATACCAGTGTTATCTCATCATAAGAAAAATAATGGACTAAGGTTCTGTAACCATGGATCTTGATACCCAGCGAAAAAAGTAACCATTAAGTGTAATGGGGTTTATTTTAGTACTTGTGTAGGAAAAATGATTCTTCTTATCGTTTTGATTTATTTTATTACTTGTGTAGGAGAAAGGATCTAATTAGATTGTTCTTAAAACGAATTTGGCAGTATTTTATTTTTGCCCAGTTTAGTTGGCGGTTTGGGATTGGAGGGGATTTTCCATCAAAGAAGGATATGGCCCATTATGATTTGTCGGTAAGTTCCCCAAGACTGTTAGGATTCAGAGGCTTTGAACCAGTTCACAAGAAAGTCACAGGAATGTCGGTACGAATCTTATCAGTTCCTCCCTTAATCCATTGAAGTTTGTAAATATGTCAAAATGATAGTTTTAATAATTACATTATGATAAACCCATGGTTCCATTTATGTGTGATTTTTAGGTAAGAGAAGAAAAAAATTTGAGGATCCTATAGTTGATTGTCTGCAATTATTTTTGGAATTTACAAAATTAATTTGGCTTCAATTGATTGCCTATTTCAGTTAGAATGCATTTAGTGTTTAGTCTCAGTTTACATGCCATTTGGTAGTGCACTAAAAATTACACGCTTATTGTTTGCTGACATCGTTTTCATTTTCTGATGAAATATGATTAATCTGCTAATTAATTATGCAATTGTTTTTAATCCCATAACTCTCCAAAATATGATTAAATCTACTGTTTCATCTTTTGTATTCTATTATTTAAGTATATACTATAATAGTTGGTTGGTTTATACTATACTATATTTTTCCCATCAGGTTTAGCTCAATTAAATTTGGAAAAGGAAAAAGGAACAAATAACAAAAATTAAACTTTAAAGAAGACAAAAGGAGTAAGCAGCTGGAGTGGGGTTGTTGAGGATGATATATACAATATAGTGGTATATAGAAGATTATGAGATTAAAAGCCAAAGTAGTTTTTTTTACTAATTCGTAACCAGAGGCTTAATTTATACTTTTATGTGAAAGGTTACATGCATTTTAATATGGTTGTTCTAGAGAAATCTTTGGTAAGTCACATGGTGTTCAATGAGTAAAAAAAGTTTGCCAAGAAATCAAGTAATATGATAATAGTTTGGTAATCTGATTTTCATGTTTCAAGACATATGTTAGTTGAGGTGAAAGATACATGAATTTACTTGATTCTTTGACCATTTAAGGAGTTTAAGGTTCAAAATTTTACTTATTTGGTGATGATAGTATAACGTGAAGGTCAATTTTAGTGTTGAATATTTCTCTACGTCTGTCTGTTGCCATTTTTTAAATATCAAAATAATTAAAGAAACTCATTTTCTTCTATTTAGGAAAAAAATCGTTCTTCTCCCTATTGGTTTAACTACTTGATTTAATTTTCCTGATTTTTTAGGTTATTAATCACGATTTACTGTAATATAATTATCAAGATTGTAGGTTTCCTCAGTAAATAAAGCATCTAGATATTGGTCTTGAATTGGGTATTGACAGAGCTTAATCGGCAATGCCCTTGAGGTTGCTCCTTCAAGCAGTTTCAGGTCAGGTTTTAAGGTGAGGTTGCTCCTTCAACCATTTCCCTTAATAGCAATTTGCACTGTTATCCAAACTTAACTTGGATACATTTCTCTTTTTCGAATCTTACTGGCTTTACATTTAACTAATTGATGTCCATAAGGCTGATGAAGTTTTTGCTGACAAAGATATCTGCACTGACATTGCAAGCAGGGGATTCACCTCAAAATTGCTCAGAGTTAAAGCCCTCAAGGTAATTTCACATTCGGAGTTAAATACTTAATTTTCATAATAATTTGTCGAGTCATTTTTGGGATGAAACTCTAGAGGTGGCCTTTGAAGATTTCAGCAGTAAGTTTATGTGGTCTTATGCATTCTATACCTCTCATTTGATCCCATTGGGATATTAAAACAATCTAAGTTTTATGGTCTGTATATTTTTGGCAATTCGGTATGCCTTGAATAATTCCCATCTTTGGATCTCATTGGGATATTAAAACAATTTATGTTTTTTTTTCATAAAAAAATTAAGTTTTATTGTGTATATTTTTGGCCATTCGGTATGGCTTGAACAATTCCTATCGTTTGACATGAACAATTTTGTAATTAGCATCTTAATGCTTTAATTAGCTTGCTTTATACAATGTGTCATATGTTTTTGTAAGGCATATTTTATTCCTTTGGCTATTGTTCGGGATTTTTTATCCCACAATGATATTGTTTCATCATATCATAATAATATTTTGCTTTCATTTGATAATGGTAATCAATTAATGCACCCTTCTTTCTTATGCTATGTTTGTTATACATCAATGTATTAACCAATCCCTATACATCTATTAACATGGAAGAAATGAGGGCAAAAGAGAGAAAGAAAGAGGAGACGAGGAAAGAATGAAGAAGATATCTACCAACAACAGAAGTCTGCCAAGAGCCCAAACCAATAAATAACCAAATGCCTCGGTTGAAACTTCCTGCATACATATGTCATCGCCTACTTGAAGCTTTGATAAAAATGTTGAGGTCTATTTAACTTAAAATAGATAATGGTATTCCTAACACTCAAATGAACATTCTTGCAAAAAATATAGATTTCTTCATAATTATCGTGTTTGCAAATCACTCGCCCGCGGCGAAGCGCGGGCTGAGAGCTAGTATTAGTAATGTTGAGACTATCAGGCAACGTTTTATCTAGTTAATGTATCTTCAACATATTCATGTGTTACAAATTGTAGGTAATACTTAAAGATCACGTGAAGATGTTTTATTTTTTCTACTCGGTAGCGTATAGCTTCTGGATTTGAAAATATTTTAAATCTTTTACCTCGATATATCGAACAATTACCTAAAACTTTTGATGGCTAGAAAATTTTTAGTCAATTTTGAGTAATTGAGTAAAAATAATCAAATTTAGCAATAGCATTGAATTTAAGGATGTACTCGCACTTTTTTTCTAGGATATTCAAAATAAGTGCAACATTTCAAGATTTGCAGCCATTCATATTAAGTGCAGTATTTATAAAACCAATGTAATTTGTAATTTGTTTCCATATATATCCCTACTTATGTTGGTTAGGTAGTTGAATCTTTAATTATCTTGGAAAGTTGGGATGGGAGAGAAGAATTTTATCTAATTGTTTATAAAATTTCTTGAAGGGTAAGAATGTCATTTTAAGTTATTTTTTACTAAATTTAAAACCAATTAATCATTGTATTGGTTTGTGTAATATTCCTAGTGTTGCACTTATTTTGAATGACATGTGATAGTCCAATTCGGGAAAATATTGAGTCAAAAGGGGAGTCGAAATTACTCCCTCCCATTCAAAATAAGTGCAACACTAGGAATATTACACAAACCAAGACAATGATTAATTGGTTTTAAATTTAGTAAAAAGTCACTTAAAATGACATTCTTACCCTTCAAAAAATTTAATAAACAATTAGATAAAATTCTTCTCTCCCTTCCCAACTTCCCAAGATAATTAAAGATTCAACTACCCAACCAACACAAGTAGGGATATATATGGAAACAAATTACAAATTACATTGGTTTTATAAAATGTTGCACTTAATATGAATGGCTGCAAATATTGAAATGTTGCACTTATTTTGAATGGGAGGGAGTATTAAATTTGAAATTAAATATTAAGACCTATATATATATATTTTAGTAATTCTAAGACTAGCTACCAGGTCCACAATACGTGACTGTTTAGTGTTTAGGAGAAAATTCTTGTTCCAATGTAAGTGTGTCATTTTAGGAGTCCAATGCAAAATTAAATGTTTCTCAATTGTATCCTTATTGGTTTTAATAAGAAACGTGAGAGATAGTATAAGGCTAAATTTGTTATGATATTCTTAATAAGTGTGAAAATCTCTAAAAACGATAACGGTGGGAGCTAATATTTTGTCCAATTAATAGATTATTTTAAGAGTAAAGTTATTTGCACTACCATAAACCACACTATTTTTGTACATTACCTATATCCAACGGTTGTTATTCAAATCAAATCCACATCCAATGTGATGTGCCAAGGGCTTATCATGGCTTAGAAGAACACATTGGAGCCAATGAAGATCATGGAGATGTCATCGATGCTAGCTTGGAGGAGCATGGAGATGGAAGCACAAGTGACCGGCCACGTGACTTGGAGATGCCCGCGCAACACCGGCCATGCGACATAGAGATGCCCGGTCATCACCGGCCACGCGACATGGCCATGTCCGGCCACACCCGGTCACATGACTCGGCCAAGCCCGGCCACAACCGGCCACATGATCCTTTATCTATGCCGTTGGGTCCAATAACAAGGGCTCGGGCTAAAAGGTTTAAGGAAGCTTTAATGGGCTTTATAAGATCTCATCTTGAAGAATTGAAGACCATTGAAGACTCATTGGGCCGATTTGAAGATCACACAACAAGGAATATTCCAAACGATTCCATGTTGTGTACCATGTTATCCATCGATGAGCATTAGGCTTAGTATTGTGTAATTCGGCCATTAAGGCCTTTTATTCTATCTGAGATTAGTTATTTATTTAGTTTAGAAGACATTGGGTTGGGCCTTGTTTGACTAAGTCCAATCCTTGCTTAATTATGTAATGTTATTTACTTTTCCCAGTAGGACAAGGAGTAGGCTATTTCCTTGTTCCTTCCTTTTATGTATGCTGCCCCTTATAGGATTAGGATTCGGGTTTGGAGTAGGTTATGCGCCAACCCCTCCCCTATATAAGGGCTCTTTTATCTCTTGTAAGCATAAGTCAAGTTAATCAATAAAGTTGAGAGGTTTATACCCATATCGATTTCTTTGGCTTCATTGTTCTAGTTTGAGCAAACTTAGGGTTCTTCATCTTGTAGAGTCCTAGCAAGCAATTAGGTTGAGATAACTTAGTTGTTTGTGAATCTTGTGATCTTGAGAATTCAATTGCAGGTCTAATTGAGTGCTTAAGGCCGACGAAAGAGGAGGGATAGCTTTGTGAAGGTCATCGACATACAAGTCTAGGAGTTGAAGAAGTTCAAGTCGACTTTGGTGGATATTCAAAGGGTGGATTTGAATCTAATACAACTAGATTCGTATCAATTGGTAATCAGAGCATAGGTTGTCATCTTTAATCGGTAAATCTATCCTTCTTTTCATCATTCATCAAGTTTTAATCCATCAAACTTCATCTTGTTCTTATCGCACCATATAGTTCCAAAAATTCAGAAACTTTGAAAATTCATAGCCGATTCATCTTACATTTTTTTGCTTTGAAATTTCAGATTTGAGTCCCTTATAACTAGTAGTTATATTGAAAAATATAAAAAAAATAAATAAATAAAAAATTTCGACCAGAAACTTGTGATTTTTGTTCTGGATTCGTTTGAGCTCAGAAAGCTGTGAAATTTGAGTTTTAGACTTATTTTGGTGTGATCTTTCTGGGAAAAATATTGAAAAAAATCAAAAAAATCTGTGTTGTTATCGATTTTTTCCAGGAACTAGGGTTTTAGTTTGGGAAATTTGGGGATTAGGGTTTTTCTTGTGCAATTGATCTAATTAGTTGCAATAACTCTAATTGATTCTGTAATTGAGATCCTTGGGTTGCTTTTGCTGTTAATTGTGATTTGATTTGGAGAATTTCAGGTTACAAACCCTATTGGATTCAAGTGGTACAAAATAGGAGACAAGTGGTACTAGGGTTTATGCTAATCGATTGATATTGTGATTGTGCTTGAATTGAGTTTTTGTGCAGCAACTTTGGAGAAGAATTTCGACATAAGGAGCCTGCATTAAGTGGTTTGGTTTGGTTTAAGATCACTTTTCTTTTGATTCACAAATAACTTTGCTACTAATTGTTTGTTCCTCAAGTAGGTCACGAGAAGAAAGGAGTGCTCTAGGAGTTGCTCTTATTAGGCCTATTGAAGCTAGTAAAAGGCAAATCTTGTAAGATCATTAAGAGAGTAGTGGACCGCCAATCCATAGGACTTGAGTACAAACACAAGAGCACAAGTCAAAGGTATAAGCACACACACACTTGTGAGGATTTTTACTACTAATTTTTGTTCTTTTTGTAGGTATTATGGAAGGAGAACAAGAACAAACCAACGTGGCTGCTATGTTGCAAGCTCTAATGCAACGTTTGGACACTATGGATACTAAATTCGATGCCTTGGCCGATGATGTCCAACAAGTAAAGGATGGCCAAAATCTACAAGCTCAACAACCTCATCAAAGAGCTAACGCTGCACGCAACAATGAAGAGGTTCATCCTCCACCACCGAGGCAAATTGCTAGAATCGATCCCATGGAGAGACTAAGGCAACAAGAACTTGGAGGGTAAGCTGACAATGAAAACATGCGGCCTAGGAGAGGAATTGAAAGAGAGGAGCCTAAAGACAACATCAAATACAAAATACCTAAATTCAATGGGAGAGGGTCTCCATCCGATTACTTGGAGTGGGAGTCGAAATTGGATATGTATTTTGATTACTATCCTCATGCCGAACCAAAGAAGGTACAAATTGCTACTCTTGAATTCACGGAGAATGCTTTAAATTGGTGGAATCAATTGGTGCAAACAAGAAGAAGAAACTTGGAGAGGCCGATCAATACTTGGTTAGGTCTAAAGAGTTATATGAGGAAGAGGTTTGTTCCAAGCTTTTACACGAATGGTCTCTACCAAGAGTTGCAATCCTTGAGGCAAGGAACTAGGAGTGTTGATGAATACTACTCCGAGATGATGTTGTTGATGTCAAGGGCCGAGATTGATGAAGCTCCACAAGCTACTATAGCTAGATTCATGGCGGGATTGAATAGAGAAATTCATGATATTGTGGAGATGCAACAACACTATGAGGTTGAGGAATTGCTTCAACATGCTTTGAAGGCCGAAAGCCAAGTAAAGAGGAATAAGAAGAGCTTTACATCATCATCATCAAGCTCATGGAAAACTCCAATCAAGAAGGATGATAAGTCGACCAAAGAAAAGGAGTTTGCGCAAAAGGGTACTACCCCTAAAACCGATTCTAAATCTTAATCGGGTTCATCTTCGAAGAATCATGTCAAGTGTTTCAAGTGTTCAAGGCTTTGGACACTATGCTAAAGATTATGTAAACAAGAAAGTGTTAGTTCGTGAAATTACCAAGGAGAAATCGAAAGTGAAGATGAAGAGATTACTCTAGGATCTAGTAGTGATGGAGATGATGAAAGGAGATGCGCATGATGATAGTGATGATGGTGTCGGTTTTGCACTTAAGAGTTTGGTTGCTAGGAGAACTTTGAGTGCTTATGTGAAAAACGATGTGAACAATCAAAGGGAGAACTTGTTTCATACTAGGATGTATGCGAATGGGAAGCCTAGTAGTGTGATTATTGATGGTGGGAGTTGTACAAACATAGCTAGTATTTATTTGGTGAAGGAGATGCAATTACCCACTACACAACACCCTAAACCCTATAGCTTAGGTTGGATCAACGATAAGGAGGAAATTAGGGTTAACAAACAAGTTTTAGTTTCTCATTTGTTTGGGCAGGTACAAAGGAGATGTATTGTGCGATATCTTACCCATGCAAGCATGCCATGTACTACTTAGGCGACCATGGCAATATGACAACAAAGTTCAACATGATGGTGAGACAAACCAATATACTCTCATGTGTGGTAAGAAGCCTTTTACTTTTATTCCATTATCACCTCAAGAAGCTTTAAAAGATCAATTAAAATTGAAAGAGGAATTTACTAAGATGGAATCCGATTATAGGGCTAAAGAAAAGAATAAACATGCTAAATTAGATGTGAATTGTGATTTAGTTGAAAAGCATGCTAGTTCTAAGAAAATTGTTAAGGAGTGTATGTTAGCTACTAAGAGTGAGATTAAAGAAGCTTTGAATGATAATTCTGTTTTGATCTTACTTTTGCTTAAGAATACACTTGTTGCTACTAACGACTTGGAAAGAGAGCTTCCAAGCAATATTGTTTCTCTTTTGAGTGATTATGTAGATGTGTTTCCGGAGGAGATTCCTAGTAGTTTGCCGCCAATTAGAGGAATTGAGCATCAAATTGATTCCCTGGAGCGCAAATACCTAATAAGCCAGCTTATAGGACAAATCCTGAAGAAACAAAGGAATTAGAGAAGCAAGTTGGAGAGCTACTTCAAAAGGGATTTGTGCGTGAAAGCCTTTCTCCATGTGTCGTTTCTGTGTTCCTTGTTCCTAAGAAAGATGGGACTTGGAGAATGTGTGTTGATTGTAGGGCAATAAACAACATCACGGTAAAGTATCGTCACCCTATTCCTAGATTAGATGCTATGCTAGATGAATTGCATGGTGCTTGCTTATTTTCTAAGATTGATCTTAAGAGTGGCTATCATCAAATTCGCATGAAAGATAATGGAAAACTGCCTTTAAAACTAAATTAGGGTTGTATGAATGGTTAGTTATGCCTTTTGGATTGACTAATGCACCTAGTACATTCATGCGATTAATGAATCATGTTTTAAGAGCTTTTATTGGCAAGTTTGTTGTTGTTTATTTTGATGATATTCTTGTGTATAGCCGAAACCTAGATGAGCATGTTAGGCATCTAAGATGTGTGTTAGATGTACTTAGGGTTGAGAAATTATATGCTAACCTTAAGAAGTGCACCTTTTGCACAAACAAGCTTGTTTTTCTTGGTTTTGTGGTTTCATCGCAAGGTATAGAGGTTGATGAGGAAAAGATCAAGGCAATCAAAGAATGGCCAACACCCACCAACGTTGGACTAGTGAGATCTTTTCATGGACTAGCCGGATTCTATAGGAGGTTTGTTAAGGACTTTAGCACCTTAGCCGCCCCTATTACAACTGTTATGAAGAAGAATGCACCATTCAAGTGGGGAGATGAACAACAAGAAGCATTTGAGACGTTGAAGGATAAACTAACTAATGCTCCTTTGCTTGTTTTACCTAACTTTAACAATACTTTTGAGATTGAATATGATGCATCAGGGGTTGGAATTGAAGCTGTTTTAATGCAAGGTGGGAAGCCCGTCGCTTATTTTAGTGAGAAATTAAATGGGGCTGCATTAAATTAGCCAACCTATGATAAAGAGTTGTATGCTCTTGTGAGGGCGTTGCAAACTTGGCAACACTACCTTTGGCCTAAGGAATTCGTGATTCATACGGATCATGAGAGTTTGAAGTATTTAAGAGGCCAACAAAAGTTAAACAAGAGTCATGCTAAGTGGAGCGAGTTCATAGAGAGCTTTCCTTATGTTGTGCGATACAAACAAGGTAAGGAGAATGTGGTAGCCGATGCTTTATCAAGGAGGTATGTCTTACTTTCCATGCTTGATTCTAAGTTTCTTGGTTTTGAGTATATTAAGGAATTATATGCTAGTGATGTTTACTTTAGTGAAATATTTAAAGCATGTGAAAATTCTGGATTTGGAAAGTATTATAAGCATGTGGATTTTTGTTTAAGGAATCTAGATTGGTGTGTGGCCTTCTTGTTCTTTGCGCATCTTGCTC